CTCCCCGTATTTATATAATCCCCAATCTTGTTTATAATCTCTTCCACCCGCCGCACTCAACTTCCTCAGGGTAAAGTCTGCGACGCCTCCATGTTTATTTACAGTAAAAGAAACGCGTCGCGTCACCAATAAGGGATCCCTCGCTGCTTCTTTTCACCTGTTCCCTGTCATCTTCATCCTTGGCTTCCCCATTCAGTGGTGAACGCTGGTCCCATCAATTCCCCCCCGACGTCCACGTTATACCGAAAGCCGTAAATGGGTCATTTCTAGCCAAGCAGAGAACGTGTGACAAGTGACATTGTTGGTTCAAAGCAGATGCAGGCAAACCCCAGGACACTCCATCTGTGCTGAAACTACACATCCCATCATGCATCTGCCTATAAAAGTCATGCAATGCCTTATGGGGTTTGTAGTTCCGCAGCAGCTGGAGGGCCGGAGTTTGCCTGTCCCTGGATTAGAGTATCAAAGGCCAAACTTTTTGGGAAGATCAGGAAGTCATTAAAACCCCTGCAGGGTTATATTTGCAGCCACCTAGGGAAATTTCACTTTACTTCCTGTTCCGGAGACACAACAGGAAGTGAGGAGATTTCATCAAAGTGAAGGAGACCCCCCCTATACACAAATCCACTTTGTGAGCACCAAACCCTTTGCAAAACCAGTACATCATTACTGTGATGTACAGACAGCAGAGCTGTGGGAGGGGCCCAGCTGCTCCACCCACTACAGTCAACTACAGGAGGGGGCGGAGACAAGACCAGTCACCCTGCACAAGGAGAGAGCAGCAGTGACCGGTCTTTATTACAGGAGAGGGCCGGAGACAAGACCAGTCACCCTGCACAAGGGGAGAGCAGCAGTGACGAGTCTTTATTATTACAGGAAGCTCACAGTGGATAACTGCACAGATCTGGAAGGAACACACAAAGCTCACCGAGATTCCAGGAAGAACACACGTGGCTCTGGTATGAGGATAATATTTGGGGAGTTGGGTAGTCATACGGTATCTTGTCATGGCTGGGAGCTGCACATACACAGCCCGGAGCGCTGTATGAGATCACAGGCGGAGGACTTGGGGGGAGGGGAGGGGGGGTTGGGGGAGCACCTCAGATGACAACTCTCACTCCCTGTACTGCATCTATGGAGGAACAGTGTTGTCACCCTATGCCAGGACTACAGAACACCTCGGGTGACAACGTTCACTCCCTTTAAAGGCTGTAAAGAAATAAAAAGAAGCGGTTCTGTAAACCCGATCACAAAATTCTGATAGAACCTTTCCTATGGTCGTGTTATATTTTCTGCCCAGAGAAAAGTTGTGTTGCCGCCCTGTATGCGCTCTATGAATCACAGAAGCAGCCGGACAGAACTGCAAATCCTTTGGCTGACGAGACACGTCACAGATCCGGAGTTCAGCTTTGATGTCCGCAGAGCGACTCCGCAGCACCGCCAGCGCGGAGGTTTTGCAAGCCAGAGTCCATAGATGTAGAAAAATGAAGGTACCAGAAAAAACCAATGACAGCTTCTTTTTTTTTTCTCCCTAGAAGGCCAAACGCAGGAAGTGACAACAGACAGAACGCAGAGTAATGGGCCTCCGGCCGCGCTACATGCAGGAGACAGCTACACAAGAAATAGATTTATATATAAAATTAAATAAAAAAGGTACTTGCAACCAATGACAGGTTCTCTTTTTCTCTAGAAGGCCAAACACAACAGCAGACACAAAGTGGAGTAATGGGCCGCCAGCCGCGCTACACAAGAATATATATATATATCGCTACCTGCAACCAATGACAGGTTCTCTTTTTCTCTAGAAGGCCACCCGTGTCTCTTGGGATCTGTGATATTCCAGGAGCTTGGACCACCAACCATCATTGGGGGGGCCGGCTGTCTGTTTCTGGTGCTTGCAGCCCCTCCCCGATGACACACCAAAGAGACAGAGTTCCTCTTTAAAATAGATGCAAACCCCAATCTTTACCCTCCCCCGTACGGACGTCGTATCAAATCTTCTATTAAAATCATCTCTGGAGATCCCGCCATGAAGGTCCTCGTTCAGGCACCTCCTGTCATAAGGTGACAACACTCTGTCCTTATCTCACAATTGCTCTTTTTTGTTGTCACCCTGAGATACAGGCTTCCAATGAAGACTACAAGGGGCCATATGAATACACATTAGATAGGCATGGTGTCACCATCAGAAATGTCACGCAGCCATCGCTGGAGGGGATGTAGACAGGAAGTGGCTGCAGTCAGTTCTGATTTACATTTACTGGAATGACACCAAATACCTGGACTGCACTGTACCGTCTACTACACGTGTGCACAGTGTATGCCTACGGCAATGGACACATGCGACCCTGTACACGGGTGACAACACGCCACACAATGCACGCCAGGGTGACACAACATGCCGGGTAATGCACAATGGGATACAACATACGATACACCCGGGACAATGTCGTCTACACACACACATGGGTGACACCAGGCTCCGCCCCCATACAGGACCTCGGCCATGACCCGCTCCATGGGGTGCAGAATACTTCGCTCCGGGTATTACAGATCTACAAGCTGCTTCTAAGGCCGGGTCCACACCTCGGCGAGTGAGCCGTTGTCGCGATGCAGAGACATCTATGGGCCCAAAACCGCGCGATGCAACGCAACGGTGTGAACAGACTCCACTGACCAATGCAAATCTGTGTTTTGCGCAGCTACATCCACACGATAAATCGCCTATGTGTGCAACCCCGAAGCTCAGTGCACACGCAGTGCAGCACACCCGAAGCTCAGTGCACACGCAGTGCAGCACACCCGAGGCTCAGTGCACACGCAGTGCAGCACACCCGAAGCTCAGTGCACACGCAGTGCAGCACACCCGAAGCTCAGTGCACACGCAGTGCAGCACACCCGAGGCTCAGTGCACACACAGTGCAGCACCCCCGAGGCTCTGCACACCCGAGGCTCTGCACACCCGAGGCTCTGCACACACACAGTGCAGCACACCCGAGGCTCTGCACACACAGTGCAGCACACCCGAAGCTCAGTGCACACGCAGTGCAGCACACCCGAGGCTCAGTGCACACGCAGTGCAGCACACCCGAGGCTCAGTGCACACGCAGTGCAGCACACCCGAGGCTCAGTGCACACACAGTGCAGCACACCCGAGGCTCAGTGCACACACAGTGCAGCACACCCGAGGCTCAGTGCACACGCAGTGCAGCACACCCGAGGCTCAAGCTTTGCACACAGTGCAGCCCACCCGAGGCTCTGTACACAGTGCAGCACACCCGAGGCTCTGTACACAGTGCAGCACACCCGAGGATCTGTACAAAAAGTGCAGCACACCTGAGGATCTGTACAAAAAGTGCAGCACACTCGAGGCTCAGTTCACAGTGCAGCACACCTGAGGCTCAGTACACAGTGAAGCACACCTGAGGATCTGTACACAGTGAAGCACACCTGAGGATCTGTACACAGTGAAGCACACCTGAGGATCTGTACACAGTGAAGCACACCTGAGGATCTGCACACCTGGGGCACAGTGCAGCACACCTGGGGTACAGTGCAGCACACCTGAGGCTCAGTACACAGTGCAGCACACCTAAGGATCTGTACACAGTACAGCACACCTGAGGATCTGCACACCTGGGGCACAGTGCAGCACACCTGGGGCTCAGTACACAGTGTAGCACACCTGAGGCTCAGTACACAGTGCAGCACACCTGAGGATCTGTACACAGTGCAGCACACTGGAGGCTCAGCACACCCGAGGCTCAGTTCACAGCGCAGCACACCCGAGGCTCAGTTCACAGTGCAGCACACCTGAGGATCAGTACACAGCGCAGCACACCTGAGGATCAGTACACAGCGCAGCACACCTGAGGCTCAGTACACAGTGCAGCACACCTGGGGCTCAGTACACACAGTGCTCCGCTAAGTGTATCAGAAGTCCTCATACGACAACAAAACCAGCGTTGCTCTGACAGCACCGAGGCCCCCCACCCGGCTCCTCACCATCTCCTCCGCCGGGGCTCCAGCCTGTCCCGATCACAGCGCTGCCATCATCCCAACTGAGAAGCACAGGAGTCCAGGAGCTGTGCACAGCCCGGACACACCCCCTAGCCCCGCCCACCTATACCCCCCACTCAGGGGGGACCGCGACTGCCGAGGGAGCCTGTAGCCAGCGCACGCGGTGCTGAAAACAGAGGGGCGGGGACCGCAAACGAGCACAGGCTAATATTTTGCATAGGGGGCGGAGTCTGCAGCCTTGACAGGCTGATACCGTACTACACACAGAGGGGCGGAGACTGAAGCCGGGACTTCTGATGGGGGTGCTGCAGACTGAAGATCACAGAGGGGGCGGTACTGGAGATTAGTCACGTGGGCGGGGACTGCATCCTGCACATGCACGATGCTGGTACTTGTAGTGCTGTAACATCTCTCCATATACTAGATGAACCGAACTAAGGCTGTACTGCAGGCAGACACCATAGACACTAATACAAGCACCTATGAATACCTCATGAATACACCATTACATGCATTTCTGTACTAGTGCAGGTACCTGAATAGGAAGTGGCATCAGCCTCCTGCAGTCCCTGTACAGCAGAGCTCCTATTGGGGGAGGGAGAAGCAGCACGGGGAGCCAATCAGTTGTGTGGCAGTGCATGAGAGATGAGCTCATCAGTCTGAGGCTTTTGCTTCACTATCCAGTCACATGGTGCGCTGGGGGGGGTCTGCATCTGAGATAGCATTTCCTCAGCAGCCCCATGGAGGGGCTCATTCACAGCCCGTGCCATGTGATTGTGATCATAAGGCCCCCCATTCAATAACCTTGAATGGAATTAAGCAGCATGCAGGTTACTTTCCCCAACGCACCTTGGCGCAGTGCGGACGGGCCCTATATAAGGCGACAGAAACTACGCCAAATGTGTGACAGCACATTTAGAACGACCCATAAGGACGTCACATGATCGCTTTTTCATATCCTCGCAGCCAATGACATGACAGGTCCTCTTTACAAACAATACTCCGCCTCATATAATGCTGTGCAGCTTCCATCGGACACTAAATTGAATTTTCCGTCTATAATTGCGCTCACGGTACAATTGATTTCCTCGGCATCTCCGAATCCTATCTGTCACCGCCTCCTGGGCGAAGAAAGCGACTCGCTGATCAATAATAATAACGAGAGATTAAAATAGACGTCAACCCAATAAACTGAAATCTCTGCTTTGCCTGAACATGTTAATGTCGTTTCATGTCATCAGGGTCCTGCCATTAAAGTCCTTGTGCAGGCACTTCCTGTTTTGGGGGTGACAACTGTCTCCGAATTGGGCTCATGCGTTGTGACCCTGTTGCAATGGCGTCACAAGGAGGGTGCGGCCCGCACCTGGGTGCCACCATTGGAGGTGGTGACACCAAAATGGCTGACAGTCATTTTAGTGTCACCCCCTCTGAAAAGTCGGGACACTCGGTCATTGACCGAGAGCCCGACAGTGTCAGGAGAGAGGAGTCCATCACCAAGATGGCTGCCGGCAGGCGTCAATTAGATGACCGCGCATGCGCTGTGAGGTCACGGCGGGGTGTCACCCAGACCGCTCAGGGTGACACCCCTGCCGTGTTGCCGGCACCCCCTGGTGGAGCCGCGCATATTGTGAAAAATAACTGAAAACAGTATTCGGTGAAAAATAAAAATAGCAATTGTTTATGATACGAGGTGCTTCAGCAAACTGCATGACATCAGGTCAGCTGTACAGAAAGCACAGAAGCTCTGAAATCACTGATACATCACTTTTTTTTAATAGATGGATGGATTTTTGGGGGATTAGACCAGATATTTGCTTCTTGGAGGCCCTGCACAGCAAAGCCAGGATGAATCCTGTGCTGATAAGGAGCATGCTGATAGGAGGAGTGAGCAGAGTGACAGATAGATGAGCTTATCAATGTGCTGCTTCTCCCCTTGCTGCCCAATCAAAACCCGGGGCTGGTCAATGACAGAGAAAGTAAGCTGGATCAGACTGAGGACATCTAGTGGTGTAAGTGAAGTATTGCAGGGGCAACGCTGCAATAAATCTGAATAGTGCGGCATTTTTTAAAACAATTTGCATCTTTTTATTCTTTTTTGTTATCTATGAAATGCAAAGAAGTTTTCTTTTTTTTTCTTCTACTTTGGGGTCCTTCTTTAAGCTCAGCGGGGACCCTCGGTATATATACTCATTCAATGATAGGAGGGGCACTTGAAATGTGTAGCTTGGCTCCCGCACAACAATGCACGGGTGACAGTTTCCTGACAGGAAAAGATCTTGCGGCGATCAGGATGATGTCATAATGGCCGCTGTCCATAGAAGGGAGAAAGGCGAATAGCGGGACAGGAAGAGCAATACACAGAGGATTGCCTAAATGAATTGACTTTATTAGGG